ATCATCATCATCATTGCCAACACCATGAATTACCTACCATCACCACCACTATCATCATCATCAACACCATCAACACCATGAATTACCTACCAACACCACCACTATCATCATCATCATCATTGCCAACACCATGAATTACCTACCATCACCGCCATCATCAGAGGAAATTCCTTTGAAAACCAGACCAATATGACATGCTGTCGGAAGACCCACCTCGTATTAGGGCTGTCCTACAGTGATACATAATATACTTGGTACAGTGTCTGTAGTATTGCACTGTCTAGTGGGATACAAATCTTCATCTTCATTTTAGTTTCTGCTTACATGAGGTTAATATTCTATCTTTTCTTCTTAGAATACGACACGAAAGAATTCGTCGAGACAGGATGGCACAAAACAGTTTCAGAAACAAAAGTCAAGCAAGAAAATGTTAACTAAAACAACAACTCCAGCAATAAATACTGGCAAAGTAAAGCAAGACAGAACAGCAGCCGTAGATAGCGACCCTGCTGCTTCTGTTTCGTCTGGTCCGAGGGAGTTCACCATTGAAGCAACAACCAAGGTATGGAAGTTAAGGATTAATATTGTAATGGAAAAGGCCTTGAAGGGGCACTGAAATCACTGAGCCCGTAATTCAAAATTTGAAGGTTCACTAGAAGAGTATGAACGTCAAACCCCCTTAGGAACTTGCGTCATCGGCACAGCATTCCATACTCATAAACCACCAGTAATTCTTATCAGCTCCCGTTGTGACAGGACGTACACTTCTAGGGAAGGGACGTCTTTTTTTTGGGGGGGAAGGGGGGCTAGGTTATTCGCAGTAAACCTTTAAAAACATAGTTGAAGCCCTCCCCCTTTAACTCGGTAAGAAATCCATGACCCTTCTTTTAAGTCAACAACTTTCATCAAAATAAAAATGTTTGACCCTCCTTGACCCTCCCTCTTTCACTAGAACCCAGCCTTCATTCCTGATAATAACATGGACTTCAAACAGCGTGTGTCATCCTTTGAATCCCTTGGATTACGTCATGATGTACTGAAGGCTTTGGATGCCATGAACATAACACAACCTACAGTAATACAGGTATAACAAGGGGACATGCACCATATGCAGCATATTTAGTTGTTTACTATTGATTTGTTTATTTTCTGACACCAAAGATGGTTACAGTACCAAGTATATTACAGAGAAAACACGTGATGAGTGCTGCACAGACAGGTCAGTATGGGAACATGGAAAAGTGCTCTCCTCTCATCACCTCCCCACATTACAYCTCGCCTCGCCTCACCTCATCACCTCGCCTTGCCTCACCTTACCTCACCTTACCACCTCGCCCCGCCTCACCTCGCCACCTCACCTCACCACCTCGCCCTGCCTCACCTCACCGACTCGTCCCGCCTCACCCCACCACCTTGTCTCACCTCGGTTCGCCTTTCCTCCAAGAGCCTATTCGGAGGATAGTTTCCTAGTAGATAGCTGATGTAATTTTCTTGTTTTGGTATTCAGGATCTGGTAAAACTATAGCATACCTTGCACCAGTAGTCCATCATTTAAGAGAAGACGAAGAAAGACACGGTATCGTAGCAAGATTACAAAGACCCAGAGCATGTGTGGTGGTACCAGGAAGAGAACTAGCGATACAGGTCCTGGTGAGTAGAACAGAGCATGTGTGGTGGTATATACCAGGAAGAGAACTAGCGATACAGGTCCTG